AGTTGTGGGTACAACATGGTCACTGATGGGGAGATGTGGGTACAACATGGTCACTGAGATGGGGAGAGTTGTGGGGTACAACTTGGTCACTGATGGGGAGAGTTGTGGGTACAACATGGTCACTGATGGGGAGATGGTCACTGATGAGTTGTGGGCAACTTGGTACAACATGGTCACATGGTCACTGATGGGGAGAGTTGTGGGTACAACATGGTCACAGATGGATGGTCACTGGGGGAGAGTTGTAAGGAGGTTGTGGGTACAACATGGTACAACTTGGTCACTGATGGGGAGGTGTGGGTACAATGTTGGTACAACATGGTCACTGATGGGGAGAGTTGTGGGTACAACATGGTCACTGATGGGGAGAGTTGTGGGTACAACATGGTCACTGATGGGGAGAGCTGTGGGTACAACATGGTCACTGATGGGGAGAGTTGTGGGTACAACTTGGTCACTGATGGGGAGAGCTGTGGGTACAACATGGTCACTGATGGGGAGAGCTGTGGGTACAACATGGTCACTGATGGGGAGAGTTGTGGGTACAACATGGTCACTGATAGGGGGAGAGCTGTGGGTACAACTTGGTCACTGATGGGGAGAGCTGTGTACAACATGGTCAACATTGGTCACTGTGGGTACAACATGGTCACTGATGGGGAGAACTGTGGGTACGACAGTCACTGATGGGGAGAGTTGTGGGTATGACAGTCACTGATGGGGAGAGCTGTGGGTATGAAATTGTCACTGATGGGCAGTGGGTCATCTTGTGGGAAGGTTAACAAGGTAACAGCTGTCCAGTCCAACACCATGTCATTACGTCCTTGTAACAACCCCCAACACTGACTGTAAACCATCCAGACGGTCCTAAATCTGCAGATCAATACCAGACACTCCCTGCCCTGAACTCAGTGTCGACACTGACGCTGTGTCAATCACTCAATGGCTTAGTGTCATTTATATTTCATGATTATAACATGACCATGTTTCCTATACTTTCATCACCACACAATTTCAGAAATATATTTATGACTCATTAACTTTGTATATCAAGAGGAAGGAATTGAGACTGCTCCTGAGATTATAAGCGTGTGTTATATATTATATTCCACTTGAACAGAGAACATTTCACTCAGTTGGCTTGCTTTTCCACAGGCTGCTATGGCAACTGGTTTCATAATCACTGTTTACAGCTGTGGGTTTAGATATGTGATAATGGAATTTTAAACCTTAGGAAATACTGTTGCAGGTAAAATATTTTCCATATTTTTGCAGTAATGAAGTTATTTTTAAAACATTCCAACATGATGATCAACTCATCTATCAACAACATGACTCCATTTGTATTATTAGTTTATAATGCAAGGTCTACAACATTCTGACTTGAACAAACTAATTACAAGCTCCTTAGATTAATGTTGACAAGAGTGAAAAATTGATTTGCAGCTCCTCAGCTTAGAGTTGATGAGAATAACAAATTGATTGGTAGTGCATCAGATTAGTGACATGGGGTTAGGAGCTTGTGGCATTTCAGTAAGCTTTTGAACAATCATAAATTCTTCATAAAAGGTTTATCTCAAGAAAAACCCTTATCCCTTAAAATGTAGAAAATAACTTGTCCTGAGAAAAATATCACTGAAATACAGAAAAACAGTGCATGTTTTGAAGAAGTCGCAAAAATTCTCTCTTTACTGAAACATCCAGCAATCCCACCGTCCACCCAACCCCGATTCCCCACATAGGTACATTGAGTAAAGCTAATTTCTGGTGTCCCCACGGTGATATTGCTGGATAAAACCAATTCACTCTTATTATTGCAATAAAAAGTGGTGTAAAACCAAACTCACTCAATCACTCATGTTACAGTTACATACTTTCAGTACTATCTACTATTTCATTCAATTCAATGAGAAGGCAAGAGTAAAGAAAGAACATGAAGGAGGCAATGTTTTACAGATGTAAGTAAACTAAATCAAAGTTCAACACTGCAGAGTTTGACTATAGACGTTTGTTACATAATGGACCAGAACCAAAGTGCCTTATCGATGTCCATTCTCCTCCCTATAATATACATAATTTCCTTCTCAACAACCCTAATGAAGTAGGTACAGATCTAATTTCTTCCGATAGCACACTTAACAAGAAGGGCTCTAATGCCAGCTGATCCATGGCTACAATAACCACATACCACAGGGACACGAGAATACAAACACTTGCATCACCATCATAGTTTGACTGAGGAACCTCAGTGGTGCATTAGTAAATGACCAATAAGTTAATGACCATCAAATCAATTTCTCCACAAAATAAAATCAACACAGCCCTCACATTCCTGTTTTGCCATTTCAGATAACTAATGAAGCGCACTGTGGTGCTGTTTCCATGGAAACTGTGCAATCTCTTGTCCAATAAAGTGCAATATGTTTGATTTCCATGGGAAGTAGAGTTCTGGAATATGTTTGGAAACCAGACTGTCTGCGAATATATTTTGTTTCCTCAAGTATATAGTTACCATGATGGTCATTGATCTTGGAAGTGTAAGCGTTGTGGGTTCAAGCATAAAAGACTGACTGACTGAGTTTGGTTTTACGCCGCTTTTAGCAATATTCCAGCAATATCATGGCGGGGGACACCAGAAATGGGCTTCACACAAGCATAAAGGATACATGATGGGTGGCTGAGTGTGAGTTGACAGTGTGAGGGGTGAAGGAGAGTGGGTGAAGGAGTTTTGGGTCAGGAGGAGGCTTGAGAGAAAGTGAGGGTGGTTGGATGGGTAGTTGAGGTAGAGTGGCTAGGGGAAGAGCCGATGGCTTGAGTGTTGGTTGAAAGAGAGTGAAGATGGTTGAGATGGTTGGATGGGTCGGGGTAGACTAACAACTAGTCTCAGAAATGAACATATTTTACTGAAAAAAGTTCATAGTAAAAAAATATAAAATATAATGAAAAGGAGCCCTGAGACCTTCTTCATTTTCAGAAGCTGAGGAAATCTAGACTTGCCACATTTTCTAGACTTGTGTGGGCTTTCTTGGATATATTTGCTAGATGGTTGGATGGGTCGGGGTGCAGGGAGCGGATGTTTGAGGGGTGTTGAGAATAAGTGAGTGAGTGAGGTTTGTTGGTTGTAGGAAAGGGAGAGTTAGTTGGGTGGGCGAGTGAGAAGATGACTGCATGGTTTGAGCGGTAGTTGAGAGTTTGTGAGGAAGAAGGGATGGATTGAGGGGTGGTTCAAACTTTCTGAGACGAACAGGGCATGCTTCAGAGGTTGTGACTGGGTTAGTAGGGGAAGGAGTTGGGTTGTTTCCATGCTTGGGTTGTTTACAGTGCCTGGCATAACTTCAATGTTATTAACAAAAGATTTTTTACTCAAACGCCAAATATTGCTGGGTGCAGCGTAAAACTAAACTCACTCACTCTCTTATTCAAGCACAACATCACTCAGTAAGGAGATCTGAGAAAGTGTCCATGGTAAGCCATGTCAGGTAACTTTCTGGCAATCAAGGTCAAGGTCATCGTGGAACTCGTGAAGGAAGAATTCAGACAATCCAGACAATTTAGGTGTGGCTTTGTAAATATTAGTGTACCCATACCTATTGATGATCCAATTAAACTTGAAACATCACCCAAACTATGCCATTTCAATTTGTTTAAAAAATCAGTAAACATCATGTAAACCTGTAAACTTGAGAGCTGGATTTCCTGAACACTATGACGACTGCAAGAACAGTTCAGCTTCATTGTGCTGGACCCATGAACTATGGTTATCATCAAAAACAGGTCTTCCTGTTGACATTCCAAATGGCCAAGGCCATGTTTCCTTGTGAGATTGACAGCTTGATGGGGTGTGAAAATAGGTTTTGAAACATTTGAGTTGGTCCAATTTATCACATTTGCCATTCAATGAATGATGGCGAGTATTATTTTGATAAATAATTTTCATCTGTGCCATTTCAATACTTAACTTGGCATGTCACGCAAAGTAAGCACTACATCGATCCCTGCAAGCACATCTGATTTTCATATCTTGAAATCAAATGTAATCCGGGAGTCGAGATCAAAGTTGTAATATTGAGGGTAGATTTGTGTTCTGATATGGTCTTAGTTGCTGAGACTGAAGCCTTATCATTTCAGTAAACATCTGATTGGCTCAAGAACACCGAAATCTTTCATTTAGATTTGTGGTCAAAGTGCGCTTGAGCTTCACCAAAAATGATTGGCACCAATCAGGACAAGCATACTAGAATGTCACAGATAACATTTTACTCATTACTCAAATAATCGTGAGAGAAAGGACATGGGCAACTGTTACGTTCACTAGCACATTAGACCAGACAATCCAGAGATTGATATTATTAGCATGTGCCAATCAATCTCAAGTTACTTTCACACCCACTCGGCCAAGACAGCAAGTTTGACCATTTAATTTATTTACAGTAAAACAGTAGGTGACTATCACAGATAGAAGTTGGCCTGTTCCTTAATAATTCCCATTGTCTGTTTTGGAGTGAAAAGTTAGTCTTACAGCAGATTTGTTCAAATCTATTAAAGCCATACAACTAGACATTTAAGACATTCTTTGTAATCGTACACTGTTGTATGTTATGTCTTTGGCGCAGGTAACCACGCCCACCACACAGGGCTACCCACAAAATAAATGGACGCGCCCAGTGAGTATATGTTATCGCAACAACTTGTCAGTCAGCGTTCACTCTGCATGACTGCGATCCGAAAAACATCACAAAGAATTAGGTCAAGACTGAACTTAGATGTTGAAAAGACATCTGACTAATTCTGTACGCACTCGAATTGCTATGTCGGTCGGACATGAGTAACAGTAGCTAGATTACTCAGAGTGGTAATGTTTCATGACACGTGCTCGGCAACAGACAATGTTAGGTTTACACATATATCAAGTTTTCTTGAATTTATGGCATATGACTCCAAATTAATGCAAAAAAATGCACTGCCCCACCCCTTCCACTAGGCCCCGAAACCCCTCGTACCTGGCAAGGCGGCTGACGGAACTCGGAACTCCTTCACACTGCCGGCGAACTCCTCGGCCTGGTCTTTCAGCACGGCGGATTTCCGTCTCCTGTCTTCCAACGGGATAGAATCATCTATAATGTTTACCCCGCCAGCTTGCTGACCCTCCAGAAATGATAGGGACTCACTGTGCAATTTATATTTACTAGCAATCTCCTCTATTCCTTCCGGCATTTTGCTTAATAACACTGCTACCGAAAAATACACACCACGGAAGTAAAACCTCGGACGAACCCATTATTCGTATAGGGGTCCGAGGTTCTCGTGCGCTTGAATCTCTAAACTAAATACGCGTTGTGAACGTATGAGTAACGTTTGAGTATAAAACTGAAACAAGGCTCGCAGTGTTATTAAGCATAATATCAGTGATTCTAATCCTCAATATCAGTGAATAGAACCATGTAACAATTTTAACATCACTGTAAATGCAGTACAAATGTTCTCGTTTTTTCGTAGTTTCATCTATGACTTTAAATGATTTATTTTATCAAAAGAACCAATTATTATGTATTTTTTAACAAAATTAACATAGTTTCACCCGACGAATTCAACAGGAACGTTTTTAGAGTGTGCTAGCCGTATAGCATTGGTGCAAGCGCTCGTAAAATATAACTGAGGCGCTCCCACCTTATCCCACATGGTCTCTACTGTATCTCATTGTCACCATTCCATCGCAGTATTCACCTTATCTCTTAGTTCCGTTACATGTCTTATTGCGTCTCCTTCATATCTCATGTTCTTATCAATTTGTCCACCGTATAATCTTATGTAACCATGCTGCCTCGTGATATGTCCCTGATATCTCTACATCACGAGTCTCCACCGTATCTCAGGAATCTGATGTATATCACATGGGAACAGGTCAAAATCGCCACACGGAAAAATGGCCACACTGACCCTAGTCAAAATGGCCACACAAAAAAGTCAAAATGGCCACAACCCCTGGTCAAAATGGTCGTACCAAAAAGTCAAAATGGCCACAAAAAAAGTCAAAATGGCCACAAACCCCTAGTCAAAATGGTCGTACCAAAAAGTCAAAATGGCCTTAGAAAAAGTCAAAATGGCCATACATTATGTTTTTTTACTTTACTTTACTATATAATGCTGGAAAGAACTTTACTGGATATCACTTCCCTCTAACATCGCTGTTAAGTGTGTGAAGTGTACGAAGACCGTCTGGAAAAACCAGCATGCAATTGAGAGTGATGGCTGTCATGGGTGGACTCAAAGGACTTGTGATACCGGACTACCTAAAGCTTGTGGATAGTGGAGCGGACTTTCCCTTCACATGCTGCAGATGTTCCGACCATGAAAACACGACGGCAAGCTGGGAAAGTTCACAAGAAAGACAGCCATCCCTGTCCAGGAGGAGGCATTCGCAGCCTGGCGTCTCTACAAGGACGGAAAGCTGAACCTTGTGGTACTTCTCCGCTTGGGTGCCCAGTTGACTAGATCAGTGGAATGAACTGTTTCTCACTTGATGTAACTGATCTACATGGATGTCATGTAGTAGTAAATAGTACAAAAGTGCATGTACATGAAGAAAGAACCTACATATATATGTCTTGTTATTTGTTGATGTGTAATAAACATCAAGTTTTGTCTGATATAACTTCTGTAATTTTTACACCTTGATATCAAATACTACAACATGGGAAAATGTTATGAGTACTAAAAATAAAATAATAATGTATGGCCATTTTGACTTTTTCTATGGCCATTTTGACTTTTTGGTATGGCCATTTTGACTAGGGGTTTGTGGCCATTTTGACTTTTTGTGTGGCCATTTTGACTAGGACCCCCATCACATGACCTACTGTAGCTTATTTTCTTCATCTAAGTCGTACATCCCTCCATATCTCACGTTCCTGTCGAATCGTATATAGTTTACACACGTGTGTGTTGGTATACCGTCTGCATCGTCTCTCATGTCTTAACCGTATCTCATGTCCAAGTCGTATCTCACAGTTTCAACCCTATGGCATGCCTCCACTGTATATCTCATGGTCTCCACTGTATATCTCATGGTCTCCACTGTATATATCATGGTCTCCACTGTATATCTCATGGTCTCCATTGTATATCTCATGGTCTCCATTGTATATCTCACAGTCTCCATTGTATATCTCATGGTCTCCAATGTGTATTATAGCATGTGAATATCTCATGGTCTCCACTGTATATCTCATGGTCTGTCTCCTTTGTATATCTCGTGGTCTCCACTGTATATCTCATGGTCTGTCATCCATTGTATATCTCATGGTCTCCACTGTATGGTCTCTCATGGTCTGTCTCCATTTGTATATCTCATGTGTATGTCTCCACTGTATACCTCATGGTCTGTCTCCATTGTATATCTCATGGTCTCCACTGTATACCTCATGGTCTGTCTCCATTGTCTCCACCTCATGGTCTCCACTGTATACCTCATGGTCTGTCTCCACTGTATACCTCATGGTCTCCAATGTGTATCTCATGGTCTCCACTGTGTATGTCCCGGTCTCCACTGTATATCTCATGGTCTCCACTGTATATCTCATGGTCTCCACTGTATACCTCATGGTCTGTCTCCATTGTATACCTCATGGTCTGTCTCCATTTTACTGTATATCCACTGTGTATGTCCCGGTCTCCACTGTATACCTCATGGTCTGTCTCCATTGTATATCTCATGGTCTCCACTGTATATACCTCATGGTCTGTCTCCATTGTATATCTCATGGTCTCCATTGTATATCCTCATGGTACCTCATGGTCTGTCTCCATTGTATATCTCATGGTCTGTCTCCATTGTATACCTCATGGTCTGTCTCCATTGTATATCCATGGTCTCTGTATATATCTCATGGTCTGTCTCCTGTATATGGTCTGTCTCCACTGTATATCTCTGGTCTCCACTGTATACCTCATGGTCTGTCTCCATCTCATGGTCTATATACCTCATGGTCTCTACCTCATGGCCTCCATTGTATATCTCATGGTCTCCACTGTATATCTCATGGTCTGTCTCCATTGTATATCTCATGGTCTCCACTGTATACCTCATGGTCTGTCTCCATTGTATATCTCATGGTCTCCACTGTATATCTCATGGTCTGTCTCCACTGTATATCTCATGGTCTCCACTGTATATCTCATGGTCTGTCTCCATTGTATACCTCATGGTCTCCACTGTATACCTCATGGTCTCCACTGTATACCTCATGGTCTGTCTCCATTGTATATCTCATGGTCTCCACTGTATACCTCATGGTCTGTCTCCATTGTATATCTCATGGTCTCCACTGTATACCTCATGGTCTGTCTCCATTGTATATCTCATGGTCTCCATTGTATATCTCATGGTCTGTCTCCATTGTATATCTCATGGTCCTGTATCTCATGGTTGTCACCATTGTATACCTCATGGTCTCCACTGCCTGTGTATGTATACCTCATGGTCTGTCTCCATTGTATATCTCATGGTCTCCACTGTGTATACCTCATGGTCTGTCTCCATTGTATATCTCATGGTCTCCACTGTATACCTCATGGTCTGTCTCCATTGTATATCTCATGGTCTCCACTGTATACCTCATGGTCTGTCTCCATTGTATATCTCATGGTCTCCACTGTGTATGTCCCGGTCTCCACTGTATACCTCATGGTCTGTCTCCATTGTATACCTCATGGTCTGTCTCCATTGTATACCTCATGGTCTGTCTCCATTGTATATCTCATGGTCTGTCTCCATTGTATATCTCATGGTCTCCACTGTGTATGTCCCGGTCTCCACTGTATATCTCATGGTCTGTCTCCACTGTATATCTCATGGTCTCCACTGTATACCTCATGGTCTGTCTCCATTGTATATCTCATGGTCTTCCACTGTATACCTCATGGTCTCCACTGTATACCTCATGGTCTGTCTCCATTGTATATCTCATGGTCTCCACTGTATACCTCATGGTCTGTCTCCATTGTATATCTCATGGTCTCCACTGTATACCTCATGGTCTGTCTCCATTGTATATCTCATGGTCTCCACTGTATATCTCATGGTCTGTCTCCACTGTATATCTCATGGTCTCCACTGTATACCTCATGGTCTGTCTCCATTGTATATCTCATGGTCTCCACTGTGTATGTCCATGGTCTCCACTGTATATCTCATGGTCTTCACTGTATATCCTCATGGTCTCCACTGTATACCTCATGGTCTGTCTCCATTGTATATCTCATGGTCTCCACTGTGTATGTCCCGGTCTCCACTGTATATCTCATGGTCTCCACTGTATACCTCATGGTCTCCACTGTATATCTCATGGTCTGTCTCCACTGTATATCTCATGGTCTGTCTCCATTGTATATCTCATGGTCTCCACTGTATACCTCATGGCCTGTCTCCATTGTATATCTCATGGTCTCCATGGTCTGGTCTCCACTGTATATCTCATGGTCTGTCTCCATTGTATATCTCATGGTCTGTCTCCATTGTATACCTCATGGTCTGTCTCCATTGTATATCTCATGGTCTCCACTGTGTATGTCCCGGTCTCCACTGTATATCTCATGGTCTGTCTCCATTGTATATCTCATGGTATCCAATGTATACCTCATGGTCTGTCTCCATTGTATATCTCATGGTCTCCAATGTATACCTCATGGTCTCCACTGTATACCTCATGGTCTGTCTCCATTGTATATCTCATGGTCTCCACTGTATACCTCATGGTCTGTCTCCATTGTATATCTCATGGTCTCCACTGTATACCTCATGGTCTGTCTCCATTGTATATCTCATGGTCTCCACTGTATATCTCATGGTCTGTCTCCACTGTATATCTCATGGTCTCCACTGTATACCTCATGGTCTGTCTCCATTGTATATCTCATGGTCTCCACTGTATCCCCTCATGGTCTGGTCTCCATTGTATACCTCATGGTCTCCACTGTATATCTCATGGTCTGTCTACTGTGTATGTCCCGGTCTCCACTGTATATCTCATGGTCTCCACTGTATACCTCATGGTCTCCACTGTATATCTCATGGTCTGTCTCCATTGTATATCTCATGGTCTCCACTGTATACCTCATGGTCTGTCTCCATTGTATATCTCATGGTCTCCACTGTGCATGTCCCGGTCTCCACTGTATATCTCATTGTCTCCACTGTATACCTCATGGTCTCCACTGTATACCTCATGGTCTGTCTCCATTGTATATCTCATGGTCTCCACTGTATACCTCATG